TTTGAGATGATGATGATGATGATGATTGGCATGTTGTTTTGACCATGTTGTTGTTTGAGATGATGATGATGATGATGATGATGATGATTGGCATGTTGTTTTGACCATGTTGTTTGAGATGATGATGATGATGATGATGATGATGATGATGATGATTGGCATGTTGTTTTGACCATGTTGTTTGAGATGATGATGATGATGATGATGATGATGATGATGATGATTGGCATGTTGTTTTGACCATGTTGTTTGAGATGATGATGATGATGATGATGATTGGCATGTTGTTTTGACCATGTTGTTTGAGATGATGATGATGATGTTGATGTTGATGCTTGGCATGTTGTTTTGACCATGTTGTTGTTTGAGATGATGATGATGATGATGATGATTGGCATGTTGTTTTGACCATGTTGTTGTTTGAGATGATGATGATGATGATGATGATTGGCATGTTGTTTTGACCATGTTGTTTGAGATGATGATGATGATGTTGATGTTGATGCTTGCATGTGTGTTTTGACCATGTTGTTTGAGATGATGATGATGATGATGATGATGATTGGCATGTTGTTTTGACCATGTTGTTGTTTGAGAATGATGATGATGATGATGATGATTGGCATGTTGTTTTGACCATGTTGTTGTTTGAGATGTTGATGATGATGATGATGATTGGCATGTTGTTTTGACCATGTTGTTGTTTGAGATGATGATGATGATGATGATTGGCATGTTGTTTTGACCATGTTGTTTGAGATGATGATGATGATGATGATGATGATGATGATGATTGGCATGTTGTTTTTTGACCATGTTGTTGTTTGAGATGATGATGATGATGATGATGATTGGCATATTGTTTTGACCATGTTGTTGTTTGAGATGATGATGATGATGATGATTGGCATGTTGTTTTGACCATGTTGTTTGAGATGATGATGATGATGTTGATGTTGATGCTTGGCATGTTGTTTTGACCATGTTGTTTGAGATGATGATGATGATGATGATGATGATTGGCATGTTGTTTTGACCATGTTGTTGTTTGAGATGATGATGATGATGATGATTATGCATGTTGTTTTGACCATGTTGTTGTTTGAGATGATGATGATGATGATGATGATGATTGGCATGTTGTTTTGACCATGTTGTTGTTTGAGGATGATGATGATGATGATGATTGGCATGTTGTTTTGACCATGTTGTTTGAGATGATGATGATGATGATGATGATGATGATTGGCATGTTGTTTTGACCATGTTGTTGTTTGAGATGATGATGATGATGATGATTGGCATGTTGTTTTGACCATGTTGTTGTTTGAGATGATGATGATGATGATGATTGGCATGTTGTTTTGACCATGTTGTTGTTTGAGATGATGATGATGATGATGATGATGATTGGCATGTTGTTTTGACCATGTTGTTGTTTGAGATGATGATGATGATGATGATTGGCATGTTGTTTTGACCATGTTGTTGTTTGAGATGATGATGATGATGATGATGATGATTGGCATGTTGTTTTGACCATGTTGTTGTTTGAGATGATGATGATGATGATGATTGGCATGTTGTTTTGACCATGTTGTTTGAGATGATGATGATGATGTTGATGTTGATGCTTGGCATGTTGTTTTGACCATGTTGTTGTTTGAGATGATGATGATGATGATGATGATTGGCATGTTGTTTTGACCATGTTGTTGTTTGAGATGATGATGATGATGATGATGATTGGCATGTTGTTTTGACCATGTTGTTGTTTGAGATGATGATGATGATGTTGATGTTGATGCTTGGCATGTTGTTTTGACCATGTTGTTTGAGATGATGATGATGATGATGATGCTTGGCATGTTGTTTTGACCATGTTGTTTGAGATGATGATGATGATGTTGATGTTGATGCTTGGCATGTTGTTTTGACCATGTTGTTGTTTGAGATGATGATGATGATGATGATGCTTGGCATGTTGTTTTGACCATGTTGTTTGAGATGATGATGATGATGATGATGATGATGATTGGCATGTTGTTTTGACCATGTTGTTTGAGATGATGATGATGATGATTTGATGTTGATGCTTGGCATGTTGTTTTGACCATGTTGTTGTTTGAGATGATGATGATGATGATGATGCTTGGCATGTTGTTTTGACCATGTTGTTTGAGATGATGATGATGATGATGATGATGATTGGCATGTTGTTTTGACCATGTTGTTTGAGATGATGATGATGATGATGATGATTGGCATGTTGTTTTGACCATGTTGTTTGAGATGATGATGATGATGATGATGATTGGCATGTTGTTTTGACCATGTTGTTTGAGATGATGATGATGATGATGATGATGATGATTGGCATGTTGTTTTGACCATGTTGTTGTTTGAGATGATGATGATGATGATGTTGATGATTGGCATGTTGTTTTGACCATGTTGTTTGAGATGATGATGATGATGTTGATGTTGATGCTTGGCATGTTGTTTTGACCATGTTGTTTG